TGAAGCGGTAATAGTCGGCTATTGCAACCGTCGACACATTGAATCAAACTTTGTTCAGGCCCTCCGGGGGTTTTGATTGGTTCAAAATATCGCGATCGTTTAGGACTTCCGAGAATTCTGTTTGGGTTTTCCCACTGACAGTTGTATGGTTGACAGCCGGGAAAGAATGGAGAGGGCTTTTGCCCTTTTCGGTTGCGCCTTGAGAAGGTGAAACATAAAATGAGCAGCACTGCGACTATGAATCCGAAGAGGGTTCCGACCAGCGAGTAGAAGATATGATTAGGAATCACCTGGAAAACAGACAAAAATTTAGGGATCTCGACTCAGCCCATGTGAACAATCTCTCCCCCTCCCCCCTTAACAGACCAAGTGAACAATCTCCCCCCTTAATAGATCAAGCGAATAATCTCCCCCCCCCCCCACCCCCAAAAAAAATTAAATGGAAAAATTCAAGCCGTAAGGCATGCATGCACTATGCTAAAATCTGATTGGCTGAAAAAATCATTCTTTTAACCAAGTGAACTCTCTCTCCTAAATTGATTTAGGGGGGAGAATGTTCACTTGGTCCGGGATCTCTTTAGTCCCCCCCCCCCCCCCCCCCCCCCATGGTACCCAGTAACGAATTGCCACCCCTATATAGAACTAATGCAAGTACGCTTAAGCATTTAAGCATATATGAGTTTTGTTCCTAGTAACAAATATACCCTACCTTTTTTTGCAAAAGAAGGGATAGTTAAAGAGATCCATATTTCAGTTTGCTATGATCTAGTTTAACGATTAGAATGGGGGGGGGGGGGAGGGGCAATTAATACGATAAGTTCAGCTCATTTCACTGAGCAAGCACAAAGCAGCGTGTATTAATCACGGTCGAAAAGATATTACTGCAACCTGTTTTGATCATTTGAGGTAGAATTCTCTATTTGCACTTCTAATTCTTCCTAACACAGAAAACACTTTAAAGTTTGGTGAAAAATTTTCCGATATTTATATAGCTTAACTGTATGAATCTGCTTTTTTGTCTAGTTGATAAGTCGTTTTTTTTGTATCATTTGTTCAAATTATATATTCGAAAAACATCATATAGATTCATGTCTGCAGTTCATATAAGTTTCTCTTTCTTGTATTTTGTCAGTTCTCATTTCGACTATAATAACACCACTCGAATAGAATCTACAGCTGCAATAGAAAAGTACTTCAGTTAAGGCGTAAAGATACCTTTTACGATCTAGCTTTTATAATTCAAAAGTAAGTAGAGCAAACTTTATGATCGATTTTGCACATAAATGCTCGTGAGTTGCAAATTGTTCAAAATCATTTAATTTATTGGCTAGTATAAAATTATCAAAGCTTTTCCTAGACATAACAGGGATTTGGTCAATTTGTAAACAACAAACTAGGAATTGACAGCTATAGCCTGAAGGCTTAGCTTGAAAGACCAACCCGCTATTAAGAACAACCAATCTGAATGGAAGAATTGGAACACCCTCAACTCACTGTGTAAACTAGCTGGCTTAAGCTTCCAATTAGAGGGAATAACTTAGAGATAAATAACGTTAAAAAATAATTCAAAGACTGGGAATATTCGCGGGTTGTGAAACTGATCCGTGGTTGAATTAAGTTCAAAATTGAAGAGTCTCTATGATTTGAAGACAGGGTGCAATAGCAATCGCGCTAGACAGCTTCTTTTTTTACAAATTTGGTCGAGTTTTTGCGACGCATTGGCTCTTTTCCAGTTTTCCCCCCCTTTCAAATTCAATTTCGAAAAGTCTACTTAACATTGTCATAATGCAATGAAATTTGGCGTGGTGAACAAATCGACAACTGTGAACAGATTTGCTCTTCATACTTTACAGCGTAACATCACGCATTTAGCCGTAATAACACGTAAAACAAACATAGAACTCGGTATTTTGAAAAGGGGGGGGGGGGACTGGAAAAGAGCCGACGCATTTTTGATTAAATGGATGACTGCTAATTTAATGCATGCGCCTGGAATGAATTTCTCAAGAAATAAACGGCCGAGTTTTTTAAAATGGCAAAATGAGCTTAAGTATTGCAACCGATCCCTGCTTGATTTAAAATCAAGATATTTTTAGACAATGAGGTAATAATTTTGTTTTTGTTCCGAACAATTTACCATTTGACGGGAGATTAGAAAAAATTGAGACTAGATTTTCCCATTAACCAAACACCAAGATTTTCAAAATCAGAAGAACAGCTATTAGGAAATACACAAAATTCTATCTAAAATTGACGAAGCGGATGAAAAATTTTGTTCCCAGCACTTCACAAGGCGGGAAAAAACTATGACTCAGGGTTTAATGTTGACTGCCACAAGCAAAGCTTGTAGGATCAAGCGTGATATCATACTAAAGCCCTTTAAGCCGTGACTTGTACACAAAAAATCAGAAAAGTTGAATCAGTGTCGAGAAAATTGGTTTGATTTTCCCAGTTTTTCTGAAACACCTAACATTATGCAGTTTTTCACCTAATCTAAACGCCCTTCACTAAAAAAATTAACAAAAATTTAGAAAATCGAAAATTTGGAAAGAATTCCCATTTTTCCCCATGTTTTCGACAGGAACTGTCGATCTTGGTAATTTTTAGCATCGGTTGTTTAATTCCTGATTATTGTTAAATCAAAATAAAAATGTTTCCATATTTTTACTTTTTTGCTACTATCACTATCAACGAACCTTGATTATCCTGTCGTGTGCATGGTCTTCGTCTGACTTGAGAGTATCTGCCGCCGGATAAACAGGAACGGGACTCGAACCCCCACTCGTTGCCGGTGATGTAGTCTTGAACACTGTCGGGTGACTCGTTCTCGGCTGTTTGTCAGTTGACGCGGTGCTGGACGGATGTTTTTTGTCCGATCCGTTTTTGCCATGAAATTCTAAAGATCAATCAACTTGTAACAGTAATTATGTTTTTTTTTATACACTTTGGGATCTGATTGAAAAATATCTTTGGTCAACTTTTGTTCCGACCATTCAAAATGGGGAGAAACTTCGTATTCGGGTATGTTTTAGTTTTTTTCTTTTTTTTGTATTCCACGCGAAATCAGTGAACAAAAACCCTCGGAATGTGTAGATTGATATATGATGACATTGAAGTTCTTTCAGTCGTCATTCGAACTAAATTAACTATTTTCCGCAATGTCGAGGAAAACCGGGTTGAATTTTTTTAATACTCCAGATTAATACTGCTAAAAATTTAGCCATTTGAAAAAACTTAAAGGTTTTCAAATTAAATTTTTAGGAACTAATTATTTTTTTAAATTGCCCTTTCAATATCCCAACCCCAACCATCAATATCCCCCCCCCACTCCTAAACGCCTTACTGTTCTTTAAAAACGCCCAGTTTTCAAATTCAGCTTAAGAAATAAATCCAATCTTTGCAACAGTATTATCTGTTGACCTTTAGGTAAGAATCTGCGGAATTGCAGATCAAAGGGGGCTTCAAAGATATATTTTTGATCCATCAGATCAATTATATTAGTTCATGCTTAATCAAATAGATTTCAGCAGTGATCTAGTTTAAGTTTCACGAAGTGGCAACTTCAAAAGACATCTGCAACAAGTTTGATCACACATCCTCCGGTTGATAATAAACAAATTGTGAATTAATTTCTGATTACATCAAAGAGTTTGATGAATAACGTTGCTCACTTCCAAAAAAATTGACATTTTTTAGTTTTACCAAGAATTGGCGGGCATCATCCTCGAAATTTAAAACATTGGTACCAAAGGCTATTTTAGCAAAAAATATTAGGGTCGGTCGGTCAAAAATGTATGTTCTAAAACAGTACCAAAGTTGTTGTACCAAAGTCGACTCAACGTTGAATTTTTGTATCCAAATTTTTTTTTAAATTTTTCAACTCTTTTCAACATACCAAATTTCTTATGGTCTATGCTGTCGAAAATGACTTCGTTCCAGAAGCGAGACAAATGCGGCTCACAGCTTTTGATATCATTGGACTCAAACACAGGGTACCAAGAAGTGTCTTCTTCATTCACACTTTCAGAAGGAGTTGGCTGCGAATTGAAAATGTAACAATTCTGCTTGATTTTGTTGCTCTGTTTTTCGTTTGAACTAGTCGAGGATTCTTCGGTTTTCGGCGAGGCCAGTAGAGTTTTCATCGAGTTAGTTAAATCGGTGGAGTTGTCGTCGAAGTTTCTATAAACAAAAAAAAAACACATCTTATCTTTCGGTTATCTAGCGTTTAAAAAAAACAAATCAAAAGGGGCGAACATAACAACAGCTTAATTGAAACTTCGAAGAAAAATTGCAAAACTTTTAAAACAATTGTTAGAAAAATTATTAAGCCTCATTTATCGAGCAGTTTCTGATGGCATACTGCTACAAGAAAAAGGATCTCTTTAACTACTCCCCCACCCCTAGGGTAAGTAGTAACGAACTGCCACCCCTAAAAAATTAATGGTTAAGCATGTGTAAATTTTGTACCTAGTAACAAATCTCGGATCAATTGAGCAATCTCCCCCCCGTATTGACCAATTGAGCTATCTCCCCCCCAAGCAAAAACTAAGACACCACAAAAAGGCGCCAACAAACGCAATTAGATGGTTGATGTGTTTATGGCACGCAATCAATTGATCGACTGAAGTTAATTTTATATGAGTATCGAGAAAAATTTTGAAAAAGAAAAAATCGAAAAATTGAAAAAAAAAATTAATTTGCAAAATTTTATTTGGGCGACTCTTGCCTCTCATTGAGGAAAACGAGTATCAAGCTTGGTGCTCTGAACTTGTATCTGAATACCAAAAAAGCTCTCTTCAGCACCTTACTATTGTACGCAAGAGCTTTTTTTTCATTTAGGACAGAAAAAAGTCGCTTTATGTGCCTCAGTTTTATTGATTTTGTTTTCACTCTGAATCTAATTTTTGAGCTTTGATATTGTAAAAGTTGGCGTTCCATATTTGTTGGAGAATCTCGTTCATATTATCATATCATTCAAACTATTTTCAAGTGGATATAAACATGTCTGAAGTACCTATTGAGCTATTTCCCCCCCACGCGAGAATGGGGGGGAGATTGCTCAATTGATCCCAAATCTCCCCCTTTTGCAAAAGGGGGGAAAAGTTAAGAGATCTCACGAAGGAAACCCTTTTCTCAAATCCGCTAAGGACTTTATTTCAAGAAGCATTATTTTATTCTTATCAATATGTGGCCAGTTTTGAATGCTTACTTAAATTGACAAGATCTTTTTTTTTGGTCTAATCATAATTGGTCAATAATTTCTGCTTGATAATCGACGCTTTTGTTTGAAGTCTGAAAATTACAAACTATGTAACAAAGGTTCATTTTTAGACAATCACAAGCTTTATAACTTTATTAATTTTTATCAAATGGAGATGAGAGGGTGTGTACTTATATTTGTTTGCTACTTGAGCTCAAAATAGATTTTGTTCAACTATTAGTTTACAATCCATTTATCTTTGCTCTGCAGCTAATCATAATCTTGATTTCAAGTTGCCGAAAGCATGATGAACACTTGAAAACAAGACCGTTTCAAGCATGAATATGTGTGATGTATTTTTCTTAACTCTTGAACAGTCAGCACGGTAAACAATTTAATCACATGAGATCAAAAGAGCCGCTCAGAGCCACGCCTCTGCAGACAGAATACGGAAAATGAATAATTTTTGGCGACTTCAGTTTTTTAATTCAGACAAAAATCAACTTCAGAGATTCAAACGCTGATACAAGACTGCTCGTATATCGGGGCGAAGCCCTCTATGCTCGCTAATCTCCAAAAAAAACTGTTCCAAATCCGTAAATTAGTAAGAGATATTTCTCGGCAAATAACTCGGTCAATAAAATAATTTCGGCATTTTTCTATTGATCAGAACATCATATAACATTTTTAGCATCTGCCTGTTTTTGGTACAAATCGGCGCAAGCTAGCCACAAGAACCGGTCGGTAATGTCCTTGAGACAAATTACTCTTTTTGGCGGTCAACCTTAATCAAGGCTGAACCAAATTAGAACCAAAAAACAGTTAAAATAGGATGTAACCCCCGTTTTTAGTATATTAATACATGGGCAGGTGGGGGACTCGAACCTACGTCAACTGTTAACCTATATAATCGGCGTTATGGTAGCTTAGGCCACTCGGCCAACTGAGCTTATTTTATATGCATCTATACTTGTTTTATTCTACATTTGCATTGCAACATCCTCCCCCCCTGAAGAAGGAAGAACCGGAGCGAGCTTAACGGTCGGCCGCGTGACTTCACGGGTTGCGGTCCTGACAAGGGCGGATCGGGCGCAACCGTCCTGTCCGTAGTTTAGCTTGACGATTCGGGCGAGAGGGTAGTACCCACGCGGACTATCGGGCTCAATCACCCACACGAGATCGCCTGTTTTAAGAGTGAAGTCAGAATGAGTGTGCCACTTGACACGCTTATTCAGCGAGGGAACATATTCTCGAAGCCAACGAGACCAAATCGCGTTAGCATATGACTGCGCTCGCACGTACCTTTTCTTGTGATCGAAGTGCTCCCCGGGTAAAAGCGAAGGAAAGCTTGTGGCATGTTGTCCAAGCAAAAAATGGTTTGGGGTTAACGCTTCTAACTCACGTGAATCGGTACTAACGGGAGTGATTGGCCTCGAATTCAAAGCCTGTTCAACTAAGCAGAGTGTTGTTCCTAACACCTCTTCAGTGACTCGCCTACTGCCTAGGATATCGTACAGCACGCGCTTCACGCTTCGGACGAGGCGTTCCCAGGAGCCGCCATGATGGGGTGCGCCTGGCGGGTTAAATTTCCAAGTAACACCTTTATGTGCAAAAATGGTCGGAGCCATGCCATTCCAGCTCTTGATGCAGGCAAGTAATTCCTTTTCCGCACCAACGAAGTTCGTGCCATTATCCGACCAGATTGTGCTTGGCGTACCACGGCGCGCAACGAAACGTTCAATGCCCATGACACACGAACTGGTGTCCAGAGATGGTACAATCTCAAGGTGTACAGCCCTGGTGGTGAGGCAAGTAAAAAGGAATCCCCATCTTTTTTCCGTGCTTCTGCGAACCGGAACGTAAAGCGGTCCAAAGTAATCCACACCCGTATGATTGAAGGGTGGTTGCTTATATCCGAGACGTTCGACAGGTAAATCGGACATAATTGGCTGGATGGTGCTTGCTTTGCGTTTACGGCATGTCACACATTGATTTTCGATAGACCGAAGTAGTCGACGCAACCCAAGTACTGCATATTTCATATTTAAAACGGAGCGCATGTAATCTAATCCTTGATGAAAATGCTTATGGTGGAGGCTGCGGGCCAACAAACGAACTAAGGTATGTCGGGCGTCGAGTATTATTGGGTGCTTAGTATCAAACTCGGTATTCACTAAGCGCACAATCCGTCCGGTGGAACGAATGATTCCAGCGGGACCGATAAATGGCGAGTATGTGGCAATTTTACTACTATTCTTAATAGGTTTGCCAGCGGTGAGTGTTTTTAACTCAACGGGAAAGGATTCCATCTGAGCAAGATGAATCAATTTGCTTTCTGCAATATCAAGTTCAGTGGGGTCGGTGATTCGTAAGTCCTTACCACGAAAATGCTTATGTGAAGGCAACATCCTCAACATAAAAGCGACTACTCGTTTATATCTTGTAAAGGAACTGAACCTTTCCCAATTGAACCCGTGTTCGGGATGTTTGATTGATGTGACATCGGTGACGAAGGAAGATGATGTCTCCAAGCAATTATCAACATCACAAGAAGGACCCTTCAAACGAATTTTATTGATTACACGTTCGTCGGATAAAAACGGCCAATCAGTAGTCCTGAGAATGCTCGGACCAATAACCCAGCTGCTATCCTTGAGGGCTTCCGAAGAAATCCCCCGCGTACCGGTATCAGCTGGATTATCGCCGCTCAGAACATGGTGCCACTCATCAATAGTGGTCGACTCGAGGATTTCGCCGACACGATTAGCGACGAATACAGGTAATTTTTCAGTGGAGTTTAGCCACTGCAAAACTGTTGTACTATCTGTCCACATAAAGACATGATTAATAGAGACGGTAAGGGCGGTCAGTATATCATCTTTTAGTCGTGTGGCGAGCAGAGCAGCTTGAAGCTCTAGCTTCGGTATAGATAGCGCTTTCATGGGCGCAACGCGAGCTTTACCAAAGATGAAGGATATTTGAGTTTTATGCGAGCTCGCGAGTCGCGCACGCAAAAATCCAACAGCACAGAAAACATCCTGCGAGCTATCACCGAACATGTGGAGCTCAATTTGATCAACAGGCTCTGTGAAGTAACAACGGGGAATAGTCAATTGCCCTAAGAGAGGGAGACCGGAGTGCCACTCGAGAAACTTATCTCTTATGTCTTCTGGCAATTCGTCGTCCCAACTTTGACCACTGATTTTCCAAATATCTTTCAGTAAAAGACGGGCCCTAACTGTGTATGGAGCTACTAACCCAACAGGGTCAAACACAGAAGAGACGAAACTCAAGACGGTTCGTTGAGTTATTGCTTTATCGAGAGGACGATCCACGCCTCTGCTAACAACCAATGTGTCTTTCACATGGTCCCACTTAAGACCTAAGACGTGTGATGATTGTTCGGCACCGTTACATATTTCCTTGATGGGTGAAGATGAGGTTTCGGATTCCTCGGGGTTCATTGCTGAAGTGATTTCATCAGCATTACTGACAAATTTAGTCAAATTAAATCCTCCCAATTTTAGTAAGGAAACCAAATCGCGACTAGTTTTAATTGCTTGGGTAACGTTCTCGAATGAATCCAAGTAATCGTCCATGTAAAATTTTTCATTTACGACTGAGGCGGCCTCAGGGTGTGTGGACATATTATCAGTTGCTGTTTTTCGCAACGCGAAATTGGCGCACGTAGGCGAATCCCGTGCGCCGAATATATGGCGAGTGTACTGATGAACTACCACATCGGAAGTGGTATCCTCCCGCCACAACAAACGGAGCGAAATTTGATCGCGGGCAAGGACTCCTACCTGGAGGAACATACCCTCTATATCCGCGGAGACGGCGTACTTATGTTGACGGAATCGCAAAAGCACAAAAATTAAATTTTGGAGTAGGTCAGGACCCACCAATAAGGACTTATTTAAGGATGTGCCATGAAACTTAGAAGCCCCATTAAGGACTCGGCGCACCTTACCCGGCT